TCGTCTGTGGGATTCGAACTCTAGACCTGCCGCTTGGGGGTGCAGCAACCCCACCACTTCACTAGGTCGCCACACCCCTAGAATCATATTGTTAATGATGTAGATAGCTTGTTTATCTATAATTCTTGCATATTAGATTTTGTTAATGTTGGTTGTGTTTTCATTCATGATAAGAGTTTTTGCTACTTTTAGTAAGAGGTCTCGGGTAAGCCAAACACCCAGGTGCTGGAAGCTATCTTTTAGTTTGATATTAGAGATGGTCTGTCTATAGAATGTAGTAGATACTTGTAGGTCAGGGTTGTTAGATATTAATATTGATTTGTGTGGGTTGACTTTGATATTTGCATAAGATAAGAAGGAGTCGATTATCTCAAGTATGTTTTGTAGTTCATTTTTGTTTTTTGCAATCTACATAATATTGTCCATATATACTACTACTAAAGCATATGTTGATATAGTCCTAAAGAGAGTGTTTGTATCTAGCAGATATTCTTAATAGGTGGTGTTGATTTGGCTAATTAATGGATCATAGTATATTCTCCAGAGTATTGAGAAGAAGGTTTCTCCTTGGTCAATTCTGTTTTGTACTGTATAGGGTTCAGTCATTTTAATATCTGTTATTATAGTGTTTTTTCTGCTATTTAGAAGATGGCTAAGAAGGTTAGTAATTTTTTTTGGGATATAGATTCTTTGCAGGGTTTTTATAAGAAGGAAGATGTGGACAGTGTCATATGCTTTGGACATATCTTGTGCAAGGACCCAATATTCTTTGTTAGTGATATTTGTATATTCAATGATATGAGTTACGGTTTGAATTGGCTGAAAGGTTGATGTAAATAAAAGGTCTACATTGTTGTTTTTTGAAAGAATTTGGTGTTTATTAAGTATTTGGTTTAGACAGAGTGTTAGTATTTTTGTAAAAATTTTCTGTATATATTCAATTATTGTAATAAGATATGTATAATTTAAATCATTATTGTAGTGTTGTTTTTTGGGATAGCCCATATATTTGCCATCTTCTAGCTTTTTGGTGTTTGTTCTAATTCCAGACATGCATTGAAGATTAGAAGTAATGATGAGATTGCAGTATAAGATAAGTGTTTTAACATTTCATTGGATATGCTCAATAGCCTGGTTGCTTTTTGTATTGGAGTAGTATTGATTGTAGTGGTTATTTCATCATACATTATTGGTAGAGTGAGATTATTATAAATATGAAGTGAGATGTTGGGGAGAGGTTGTAGGTAGAGTATCTATTCCTGTTTGAAGTTTGTATTTGTTAGATTAGACTTGGTTCAGTTGTTGAAGTGGTCTCTTGTCACTTGTTTTATTTCCTTTAGATTCGTGATTATTTTATCAGTGATAATTATTTTATCATAGGAAATATTTGCTTTTTCATGCTTTAGTATACTGTTAATCATTCTTGAGGTGTTTGTTTCCATATTATTGTAGCATTGCTAAATGTAGAAGTTTATTTTTTTTCTTTGTACTACTTTAGTCTCAATACTTCAGGCTTTCTATATTGTATTTTTTAGATTTTTTAGTATTGCAAGGAATTGGGTATAGTTAGTTATCAAATTGTCAAGTTGGCAGGGTGTTGTCTGTATTTCAGTTAGGGAATTTATCTTGTTAAATGAAGCATTGATCGCTTGAACTATAAGGTAGGTAAGTATGAAGATTGAATTGAGCAGGTATTGTGGAGTATATTGTTGATTGTTTTGAGTACTATGTGAAGTTTGGTGGCTTTTGATAAGAAAGCATAAAAGGTTTTTCGTGACTTGAGAGTTGTTAGTACTTCCCTGTTGGCAATTGCCTTGATTGTGTTTGACCACTTGTTTCAATATTTGTTGAGTTAGTCTTGGTTGGTAGAGGGGATGATATGTTTAAAGTTTTGAACTCATTTTCAATAGTTTTTGAAAACTCTTTCTAGGAGTCTGAGTTTATTTGTTCGTAGAGATAGATTTTTCTTTTCTTTTTTTTAGTTTATAGGATTTTGAGGTTAAAGTTAGTTGTCCAAGTAGTTTGGATAATCATATGAGGTGAAGTCAATAGAAATAGGACAAATTTATTAGATAAATTTGTCCTATTTCTATTGACTCCACCCTATATAGTCACTGTTGATGATTTCTATTGGATCTATCAGTAAGGGTGGGCTGAAGTTAAGAATTATTGCTGGATTAACCCAAATATCATCGATTTGACTATGTAGAGAGCCGCATTTCTAGATAGATCTTGCAACTGAGAAAAAATTAAGAAAACCTGAAGATGATAAGGATTGCAAAGTAGAAAATAGTTTAAAGATTCTTTTGAGTATTTAGTATTGTCATTAAAGTCACCGAGAGTGATGGTATGCCAATTTTTGTGTCTTGCTTCAAGGAGCCAGTTTGCAATTATATTTTGGGTTGAAGTTGACTGGTCTAGGTAGTTAAAGAGTAGGTATAATAATATAAGTCAAAGCTTGTTGTTAGATAGGAGATGAAAATCAATACATATTGCAGTGCCTGGAAATGTTTGTATATTGTAGATATAAGGTTGTAGAGCTTTGTGCAGTGTGACTGTAGTGCCAAGGCTTGCTTCACATTGTACTTTGCTTTTTGGAGAGAAGTTATATATATATATATGGTAATATGGGTTAGTAAGAAATGCAGATACAAAGTTCTTTAATTTTGTTTCGGTTAACAAGATAATGTGGTATTCATTTGCAGTGCAGAATTCAAGTAAGACTTGAAGTTTGAGTAAGTTAGTAGCATGGGGAACTTTCGAATCCGATATATTCTGGATCATCATTACACAAGTATTTATATGGCGTAGTATTGTAAAATCACAAATTTAGCAAATAGGCAAACTTCAAAAAACAAGTATTAATGTAAATACTTTACTAAATGAATAACTTCGTAGCGAGTGCCTCTACGTAGAAATCAGGTTGCATCACGCTGCATCATGCTGTAAAAGGTGGGTCTATTATGAGTAAAAATACTATAAGACTTTTAATTAATGAGCAGTAGAAGTTTAGTGATATTCTATTTTATTGAAATTATTTTTTTTTTAATGAAGATACCGGTAAACGTTTGTGTTTAGATCCTAGAGAACTGGTTTACGAATAAGTTTCAGTTTCTAGTTTCTCTTTTTTGTTTTTTTTTGCATTTCGGTTTTATTAACCTTTTTTTTTTTCTTTGCTTCACTAGGAATATAAAATAGCACCTGGAATGATTTGATCTTGGACAGTAATAATGTTTCTAGTTTCTTTTATTTGTTTTTTTTTTCTTTTCAGTTTTACAACTTTTTTTTTCTCTTCTAGATTTCACCCGAACTTGAGATTTTAGATGAAGAAAACTTGTAACTAGTATAACGATAAGTACTAGTTCTTAGTTTCTTTTCTTTTTGTTTTGTTTATTTTCTGGTTTTATTAACTTCTTTTTTTTCTTTCCAGGTTTTTGTTTCGTTGAGAACATTGAATTGACTGGTAATGACACTAAAAGTGAAGTTTCGGATCTTTGATAAGTACCAGTTCCAGTTTCTCTCGCTTTGGTTTTGCTCTGCTTTACTATTTTTTTTTTTTTTCAGGGTTGTACTTCGCCGGGAACGTAGAATAGCACTGATAATAGCACTGGAAGTAGAGCTTCGAGCTCTTAAGAAAACTTGTAATTGGTCTACAGATAAGCTCCAGTTTTCTTGTTTTGGGTTTGTTCCATTCTTTTCAGTTTTCTAACCTTTTTTTTTTAGGGTTATAATTCACCAAAAACGTAGAATAGAACTGCAAAATCATTCATTATCTGTTACAGCTGTTCTCATAAATTTTGAAACATCTGGTAAAAAAATTTGCCGAATAGTTATTTGCCGATTCGATAAGTTTTTGATAAACTTTTGATTTGAGCTATTCTGAACGATACTACAATGTCATATCCAAATTAGTATGTTTGGTGTGTTTAGCAGTACGAAATTTTATGACGATGATTGTTCTTGCCAACCAACAGATCTTATATAAAAAGGGTTCTAATATAAGATAAGCTTTTCATAATAAATATATTACACGAGGGATCTGAATGTAAGATAAGCTTTTCATAATAAATATATTACACGAGAGACGTTAATAAAAAAAAGTTCAATATGAACAAGAATTTATTGATTGAACTAAGAAAATATAACTCAAGTTATAACTCCAAACAACTAAGATTTTGTTAATTATTTGTCGAAACTGCGTTGAAAAATATAATCAACAAAATCATAATAAAACCTATAAAAGGATTTTATTTATTTATATAATACGTATAAATATTAATAATATTAGAGTTCCAATCCGGTTGGCGTTTATCCGAATAATTATCAAATATTTGGATCTGAATTTATTCGGATATCTATTTACTATTGCTATGGATAAACGGATAATGGATTTATCTGGATTGGGACTCTAAATAATATAAATTATAATGATTTTTATTGAATCAGATGAAAATATTGAAACGGTTGATCTAACAACTAAAAAACCTCTAGCTTGTTCGTCTATAATAAAAATTTTTTAAATTCGTTTATTACACAACGGTAAAATCATTCGTTATGCAATAATGAAATTTATTGCGCAATAATGAATTGTTTATTGTGCAATAATGAATTGTTTATTTTAAAATAAAACTAATTTTGTACGTAATATTAATTAAAAATTATTATATAATAATAATTAATAATAAAATTATTCTTTATATACGTAATAATAAAATTTACTTAAAATTTTTATAAATATATAACATGATTAAAATTTTAAAAAAAATTTTTTTTTGAAAAAAATTAAAATATATACAGTAAAATTATTATTTTTTATATACAATAAAAATGTCTCAGCAAAATATTCAAAATTGTTCTATTTGCTTAAAAGAAATTACAAAAATTAGAAATATTTCAGATGATCTTAAATTTAAAATTAATAATTGTTCTGATAAAGATTATTATAGTCATCTTACTTATGAAAATGATAAATTATGTTCTGATTGTTATATGAAAATTGTGGATTCTTATCGGCGTCAAGTATCTACAATTAATAGAAATAGCAAAAATTTAATGGAAACTAGTAGACCTACTACACCTGCAAATTTAACAGAAAGCACTATAGATTTAATGGAAATTAATAATTTAATTGATATTAGTAATACTAATATTTCAACAAATTTAATAGAAATTAATGAATCTAAAACTAATAATTTAATAGAATTAATTGAGATTCAAAAAAAAGAATTAATTAAATCTACTGAAGATTTAAATGAAATTAATCAACAATTTAATAATATTGAAATTAATATTACTAATAATATGGTTTTAATTGATAATGAAAATTTTAATCAATTAATTAAATTTATTATTCAAAAAGATTTAAAAATTAAAACTTTAACTGATCAAAATAATAGTAATTTAACAACTATTACTACAAATAATTCTGGTAATTATATTTTATTATTTAATTATTTAATTTTTTTTTTTTTTTTTCGGTGTTAAGGTGACCTCTTGGCCGGGGACTTTTTATTAGATAATTAACAACGTTAC